TAATTAGATGTGGATATATGACATTTTTTATATTTCATGGCGGCCATTTTGAAAATTAAGTGCTACGCCCCCTTAAACGGCAAATTACGTTGGGGTCCACCTCTTATCATGTTTAGAATATGTCAGAGCACACGTGTACCAAATTTGATGCTTTTATCAAAAAGTGAACACTACATGTGCTTAGAACCATGGCTTCTGCTCCTTCCGATGTAATAAGCTAATAATCGGGAATCTTACGGCACGTCTTATCCTGTCGTCGTTCATCGTCTTCTGCATCGTATCGAATCTTCCCGTTCCGTCTCGTGTCTTCGCTCACCGTCCTGTTCCATTCCGTCTCGTTTCGTGTCGTCCCGTTTTGTGTCGTCCCGTACCGTTCCGTTCCGTCCTTTTCCATTTCGTCCCGTGTTGTGTCGTCCCGTACCGTTCCGTCCCGTTCCGTGCCATCCAGTACTGTTCCGTTCCGTCTCGTGCTTTGACGCACCGTCCTATTCTGTTCCGTCCCGTTCCGTCCCGTCTCGTGCCTTGCCGTACCGTCCTGTTCCATCCCGTCTCGTTCCGTGCCGCACCGTTCTGTTCCGTTGCGTTCCGTCCCGTACCGACCAGTCTCGTCTCGTTTCTCATACATCTTTCTTCATACATCATTTCTCATACACCTCGCCCTCGTCACATTCTACCTGATCATAAATCACCGAGTCGCATAGCACGCGCGCGTCTCAAACTCACCCGCATGAGAGCTTGACAGCATCGCATACTTCGCTCTATACTCGCGGCTACTTACTTACTCTCTCTCTCTATCTTTCTCCCTCTTTCTCTCTCTTTCTCTCTCGCTCTTTCTTTCTCGATGCTACGGTGGTATATGAGCTCTCACGACGTTCCTCTGCTCGTCTCTATCTCTCTCTCTCTGTCAGCGTCCCGCCAGCGAACTTGTATTTATCTATATACGATAAGCATCGCCATCGAAAAGGTTCAAGGTTGGTTCACTAATTTCAGCGCGCTGACAATAGATGGGCGGTTACGGAATCACGATTCGCGCGTGCGGTTGCACGGCTTCGCACCGCTCGCAAACAACCCGATCCCCCGGGCGTGTCTCCCTCTCTTTTTCACGCGCTCTCTCTCTCTCTCACGCTCTCTTTCTTTCTCGCTCATCTCTCCGTCACGTCTTATATATAGTAATGATATATATCATAACTATGAATATATGATATATATATAGCAGACAAGAGAGAGAGA